CTGCCTTGCCAAGGAAGATCGTGCTCTGTGAACCTCATGGGTTTTATTCTGATGGCAAAAGGATTTTTACAGCAGGCAGCAAAGCAGGATGTCAACCTGGGCCAGGCTGGCACCCAAGGTGCTCTCTGCCAGCCTTTGGGCTGTCTGATTTGCCCACGCAGCAGATCTCTGAAGGGAGACATTATATGGAGGACAAATTGTTCTTCAAGGCTGCAGGGGATGGGATAAGGTGTGTGGATTGGAATCGGGGCATCACCAAGCTATGTGGGAAACCTGGAGGACTTAGAAGGCACTGATGAATGAACTGAAGGGTTGGTTTCCTGAGTACATGGGTGGTCATATCAGCCAGTTACCATCATCCTGCATGGTCTGATAGTGTATGAATGAAGTTGCAACTGGCTTTGGCCAGGCTCTATGTTTTCAAAGTCCCCAACTGAGGAAAGGGATGGGGAACCATTCTCACCTGCTCATGGGAGTACCGTATTATCTCACATACCACACATCCCCGACCCTTTTTTTTTTTTTTCCAGGGAAAATATATAAAAGAGAAAGATTTCTCCCATGTCATGGCCACCTGTATGACAGACAGTAAGTCCTCCTGGGAATATAGAGTGTCCAGGAAGTGTGGCCCCCTGATCCTAGCTTCCTCACCCAAGCTGTCTCCTGGGATGTCACACTCTGGTCCTTCCCAGAGGATGTGACACACCAGGCGAGCCCCGCCACCTGGCAAGAGCAGTAGCAAGATGGTTAGCCCTTCTCTGAAGCAATCCTTCCCAGAAGCAGTGCTTTTCCAGCCTTGGTGCCTCTGACAGAGGCTTAAAAGCTCCTAACACATGCAGCAGAAAGCAAGGGTGGGGAGCAGGGGTTGGCTAGAATATCCTCTCAACCACACACTGCAACCAGCAAAGCTCAGGGCAATTCCAACCATGCCGTTCCTCCACCTGAGCTAGGTAGGGCTCAAACCCTCCTGAGTGACATGTATTCCAGGTGAAGAACACCAATAACATGATAGACCCTTTGCTGAGGTCAGATGGGCCTGAGTTTGAATGAAAGAGCAAGGCCCTCCAGCCAGGAAACCTCTTGGTTTTGTAAGGACCGACAGAAGTATCAGGAGCCCTGAGGATCAGATGTGGCTAACTCCCCAGTGCCTTACACCAGGGCTGTACATGTGTGGCCCCTGAAAGGGTTAGGAAGCCCCCACCCAAGCTAGTCCTGCACCAGTGGCTGGGAGAAGGCTGGGGTGCACAAGCTGCAGCCAGGGAGGGAGCTGAGCTTTCTGTGCTGTGTGTGGCATTTGGGGGTACGGGGCACTTGGTGTCGGCATGGTTAATGTCCAGCTGTCCCTGCCTTGAACCCTCCAGCTGGACAGCCCTGCCTTAGAGAAACCTATTCCTCTGCCCCCAAGAAGCATTCATGAAGTCCTGCCTGGCCCCAACTGGAGACCTGCAAAGCCCTGAGATCTGGGCTCACCCACACTACAGAACATGGGAGATGAAGCAGAACTAAGTGCGGAGCAGACCCCACCTGTGCCCGAGAAGGTGTCTCAGAAAAGCTGAAGGAGGTATGCGGGCTCTCGTTCTCATCTCCCCTCCTTCCCGGCCCTCAAGCCCCAGGTTTCTAGGTCCCTGCCTGTATGCAAGATCCTGCCTCAACATCCCCTTTTCAAACCCAGGATGTTGTCAACTCTAGGAAATAACAAAGCAACTGGTTTTGCTGAGGAGAGGCAGGAGGGCTGGAAAGCACCATTTCCAGAGGAAGCCATATTGTGGCACCAGGACAAAGCATGGAGGGAAGGTATGGTATGGCAGCCACAAGGCCGAGATGGGCTGCCAGGGGGCTTTAGTGCTCGGCATAGAACAAACTGCAAATGGGCTGGAGGGGGTGAGGCCAGTGTAAATGGTACCACAGGCTGAAGGATGCACCCGAGCCAAAGGAGGAAGGCCAAGCTGGGCTGGAGATGGTTTCCCCTCAGCCCTATTCTTGTCACAAGCTGTTAAAAACAAGCAGCCATCCAGTGTGGGAGTCTTCTCCACATGCGGGTCACCTTCCACCTGAGGTGGGAGAAAGGAAAGAAGCAGATCTTAGCAAGGATCAACATGGAGTCTGTTGTCAGCCCCCCATCCGACACTGGTAAGATTTCACACTCCAGGGGAAATACCGTGACCACTATGGCAGTTTTCCTTGTCACGGGGGTAAGTTTTTCTGGAAGGGGTAGTACACAAGCAGAGGTAATGCATAGTTAACCTCCCACGTTCATTTCCGGTGGGAAGATCTTGGCTTTATGCCAACTTTATGGAAATGGGAGACTACTCCCTAGCTTGCTCCTGTGGCTGTGCAGCTGAGGGCAAGTGAAACTCAGGGTCATCTGAACCCCAAGCCTCTGGGCTTGGGCCTGCATGTAGGATGCCTGCCAAATGTTCTGGAAACATCTGAAGCCTTAGGTGGGGATGGAGAACATTTGCCGGAAGTAGGGCCAGATGCGGTTCTTGAATGACTCACGGATTTGGAATTGATTTAGCTTGAGACTCGAAAAAATGTACTTAAAAAATAAATAAAATTTTTAAAAGATTTCACACTCCAGCTGGGGAGAGGGGACATCCCGTGGGGGTCTGGATCCATTTTATGCTGTTTCTCCATGGCCCCCCATGCAGGACAAGAAGGAGCCTTCTCATTTAGTCATTCCTTCCTCCTTCCCTCTACTATTTTCTCTGCCTGCAGGCACGGTTCAATAATGAGGCCGGGCACTGCAAGAGCTCCTGGAACCCACTGCTGATTGAGGCCTACCCTGGCACCTAATGTGAGGTTATGCATGTATGTACATATATGCACATACAATTATTCACATACACAAAGCTGAGCTCCTGCCTTTGTTTCAAGGTAATTTGCATCATCACAGAGCCTCACAGGAGGTGAGAGGCTTCATACCAGCTATGAACTGACTGCCCAGAGGAGTTTTCCATCTATTGACTCCCCTGTGAAATCCTATGAAATATGAACTTTCATTTCTACCCAGAGAACTTTTACAATCTTTTCTCCAATGCCTGATGAAGGGTGTTTGTGCCCAAAAGCTTGCAATTAAAGAAGTTTTATTTCAAAAATCTTGTTGGTCTAATAAAAGATATCATCTCTACTACCAGTCCTGATTGCACATATACAAATATACTTATACACATATATAGTACACACACACACACACATGTATACATACACATATATATACATACACAGAGAAGCATATACATGTGCACATATATACAATCATATACATATGCCTATCTACATACATATACATATGTATAGATATACATACATGTGAATTCAGTCATCTATACACACACATGCACATAAATATCTGCTCACGTGTGGACATACACACATACGTACATGCACATTAAACATATAATACACTTCTGTACATACACATAAGTGTACATGTATACACACATACATATACACATGAATACATATAGACAGAAACAGTTGTGCACACATATATAACGATATGCATACCCACATACACACGTATATGTATATGTATATAAATGCAAACATCTATACCCACATACATATACATGGCATATATGCATACATGCATAAATATACATATATAGTGCACATATGTATGTTTACAAATATACACGAGCGTGTGCGCGCACACATGATTTTTAGCCTTTTCTGCCCCGTTGTTCTCACTCTGGGGCAGACACCGAGGCATTGTGTGGTCCATGGAGACCATTGCCAGGTGGCGCGCAGACTCCCACGAGTCTCCACCAGGCCCCAGCCCCCTTTGGTGAATCAGGACACAACCATCTGGGGCACATTTCCAGCCCCGGTGCGGCACCCCATGGCTAGGAAGCAGTCCCCCGCCTTTCGTGAAGTAAAACCAGTGCCGTGTTGACATGGGCTTGGTGCCATAGTCACCAGCTGCCATTTTGACACCAGAAGCTGTG